CAATAAAACGATAAAGCTTATTCGGATCCCCGCGGTTTTCATGCTTTTTCACATAAAAATCACACTTTCTGTTTACCAATGCTGGGTTTAAGAGATTTGTTTTAACTTTTATAGTGGCTATCAAACGCGTGGCTTCGTGTATTTTATAAATGTCTGCCGAAATTAAACAGTTTATGACATTGTAACAGTTCCTAATTTTTTTCAAAAAAATTACAAAAGGTGATTCATTTTAAAATATAGTAAAATATTTTAAATGCCTACTTCTACTACAATTTTACATGTATTTTCAAATACTTTAGTATTATTAGACCGCTTACACCTGTACAGTGAATAGTGTCTTAACGTCCTAAAGGTGATTCGCGTATGCATTTGCTACTTGTAAGCATAGGAGGAAACTTTTAATAGGCCCAAGATGACATCAAAGGCAGGGGAACTGCGGTGCTCCAAAAATTATTATTTACTGCAAACGTTAATGTTTCGAGAAAACACCGCACCAACATGATTTATAATTAGAATTGCCTTAAGTAACACGGTTATGACTATATTGCAGAGGTAATTAAATTTAATATTGTTGTTAACAAATTTATAAACTTCTAGTTAATAATGCGGGTTAAAAATATCTAACGTGGTTCTAAGAAAGGGGTAATTTTAACATTAAGCCAAATTTTATTCAGAGTTAGTTATAATCACTATTTAAATTTTTCTGAAATAGTATATTATGTATCATAAAAGCCATTTTAATCACTAATTAAATGAATGTATAAAAAGTTTATAAACGAGTTAAATACCATACTTTTTCCACGACAAAAACTTATTATTATTATCGAAAAATGATTTAAATTAAATATTTATATATAACGACATCTATAAAAAATAGAGTAACTCGCGTGATAATTTCTATTTTGTATTACCGACGCGACAGTCAAAATGTCAAATTTTTATGTGTAAATCGAAATTTATCCCTTAAAAAGTTTTTACAGTGAAAGTGAAGAGAATTCACGGTGGAGTCTTCATCCAAAATTTTTAATGCTTTCATTTAACCTAGTTTACTGCCGGCAAAATCAAAAGGTCAGTACAAACTTGCATATAAACTTTTTAAATAGGTATTGGTATTAAGAAACTAAACTGCGCACCACTCAATGTGTCGCGACTAAAAATTTTGTCCTTTTTCAAAACGACATAACTTTTTTGTTTCTTGAACGATTTTATTTTGGTCTGTGATGTCTGCTAGCCTCATCCTCTGGAAATGCTATAGATATATGAAGCTTAAGGTTCTTCAAGTAAATTTCCTACAGGGTGATATGTAAAACGGTGAAAAATTTCAATAAGTTGTTGTTTGAAAACAAAAATATTTTTTTTCTTTTTTACTTTAAAATAATGAAGTATTATGTCTTACCTTGTAAAGGATTTCAAATTTTTTGAATTGAAATCTTAGCAACGATTTTTTTTCCAAAAGAGTAAATTTGAGGATTTTTGGCAATACACTCGTCTTTTTAAGATCAAGAAGATAAGATGGTAAAAGTTTGTTCCTTGAATAATTTTGAACAAAAGCGACAAGCAACAAACTTGCATTATTTTCAGAGGGGCAAAGACCACTTTTTCAAATTGACATTTTGGTGAAAATTTTCGAAAAATGTACCGATATTTACGTTGTCAAATTTAAGTTTCACATAAAACCAAAATCAACAAGAATCAAAATTTGAAAACAATTCCCGGCTCTTAAATGTCTCAATAATTTGGTTTTCCCTCCCAAATTCCTTAGAAATTCCTGGGCTTCCCATTCTTCCTGAATAGCATTTATCCAAATTTTCCATGCACCCTTCCCTTTTTTTCATATTCAGTTTCATCCTGCTCCATACATGCTCAATAGGATTCATATCTGGAGACAAAGGTGGCCAATTCATTTTCTCAATATCGTGGTCTCTTAAATATTAATTTAAGATATGGCGAGGTGCGGACGGGCATTGTCGTCCACCAACAACAAATTATTGGCAACATGTTGAGCATAAGGACCACCATGCACTAACACACAAATTTCTATATCTCTCAGCATTTAATACCAATTCACTCCTTCCATTCATCGCCATTCCACCCCAAACATTCACTCATCTACCTCCCGTTTCGTGCAATCTTCTGCGAACCGTTGATTTAGAGATGTGTCCCGTAGCTGCAGCAAAGTCTGGCATTGGCAATTCAATCATTTAAAGTAAGAATGGAAGTAACCTGGGTAAGATGGGTGTAGGTACTTATGCAAAAGAAAATTTCGAAATTTGATAAAACATAAGCAAAATGAAAAAAACAAGAATATCCCTAATAATGCGTTTTAAATGTTTTTCAAGAACTAATTTTCATCATTTGATTCTCGATTTGATCATTCATGATAATAAAGTTAAAGCTGCAAAACGCAGTAAAAAACAGTCAAAACCTGCAATCGGATTTTATTGAGACGAACGTAAATATCGGTTCAGGTTTAATTTTCGCAAATGTCATTTTGAAAAAGTGGTCTTTGCTTAGGTTCCTCTGAAAATAATGGAAGTTTGTTGCTTTTCGCTTGTTCAGAATTATTAAAGGAACAATCTTTTACCATCTTATCTTCTTGTTCTTGAAGTTATTAAAATTTTTGTGTGAGCTTCATATCTATAGCATGAATTACAAAAGGATGAGGCTAGCAGACATCACAGACCAAAATAAAATTGTTCAAGAAATAAAAAAATTATGACGTTTTGGAAAAGAACAAACTTTTTGGTCGCGACACATTGAGTTTATTTAATACTTTTTATTTTTGTATTTGGATAATAAAATAATTTTCACACTATTATTTCACAAGAAGGGGACTTTATTTTAAAGATTTTATGATATTTGACAACTGCCAACCAACTTAAAACTAACTTCAGCCCGTGACTAAAATCCTGTTGCTAACATCCTGTGAAAAATGCCATAAAGCCACAACTTGTCAATGTGAATTTAAAAGGTCACTTAAGTTATGTTCCGAATTTTTTTTTTGATGACCGATACCACGATTTTGGTCGGTTAGCGGTTGATAGAAACGAACTAATTTTGGAATGCTGTCAAAAAGCGGTCATCTGTCGGTTATTCTAACCAAACTTTTTCTTTGGGTGTTTTTTATACATAATATAATTATATACCTAGACCAAACCAGTCTAGGATTATATAATTATCAATCATGGGACGATAGTTCCAGTGAAGATGAAGAGGTTCCTGATAAAAAAATACTAAAATATTTAATTTTCATTTAGGTACAAAATACTAAACAAAATTTATATTTTTAGCAATTATTCCAAGGCTAAGGGATTATAATTAAAATTGTCAATGGTTTTAATATATTAAGTATAGGTACTATACTTTTATCGCAATGAAAAAACTTCCTACAAAACCAAATATTTAATGTAGGTAGAGATGCGACTTGAAAAAAAACGGTCCGGTTTTTTGTTTTTTTTCAGGTTTTTTTTCACATTTTAGGTTGTTTTTCAAGATTAGTCCCATTTGCCTAATTTTTTATGTTTCCACTCCAGTTCATGGACTAAAATTAGTCACTAAATGACAATTAGTAAATGTAAATACAGTCTCACGCTATGCACGCGCCACCACCACCAAATTGACCAATAAGGGTCGCGCTTGTTTTGATTTTGTCCTAAAAAAAGTAACTACATCTAATATTTTTGATTCAGCGCTTGATTTTTCAAAAAGCTCCCAAAAGCACTTTTTTCATGATTTTTCAATTATTTTTTTTAAACAATAGCAAATTCTTGTAGAAAATTTATTCATTGGTGGTTTAGTCAGAACATTCTGTGGGCCAGAAAGCCAATTTTTTTTTATTACGGTATTCGTTAGGACTGAGCGTTGCACGTTTGTCATCTAAAAATCTCAAAACTAGAAACTTCAAGCTTCAAATTGTTTTTTTACGGCTCCAATACGACCATTTTTAACAAAGATACAGCTATCCTTTAATTTTTTGTATTAGTGTAGAAGTTTTACATTGCTATTGGTTTCTAATGTAACTACCAAATAATAAGAAATCAGATTTTTTAGTCTCAGGCAATGAAAAATGTAATATATTCTACATTTTACTTTATTATTAATATACATTTTACTCAAAATTTCATTTTGAAAAAAAAACAAAAAAAACCGGTTTTTTTTTAGGTTTTTTATGTTTTTTTTCACATCTGAAAAAAAACCGTTTTTTACATCTCTAAATGTAGGTATTAATATAAATAGGGTGTAGATTATAACTTAAAATGTACGAAGCTTCCTACCTGTTTGTCTAATTACCTATTAAATATTAAATATAAATTGTTATAACAAAATCAGGGTTTTTATTTATTAGTTTACACAAAACCTAATTTTAGTTCAAAAATTGACAGCAACCAAAATTTTACCGTTAAAAATGTGCGGTCGCTTTTTAAGTAACCAAACGACCAAGTTTCAGGAAAATTTTGACAATTGACAGAGATTTCAGGGGAACCAAAATCTCGGTTCCTATCAAAAAATAATTTTGAAATATGTACAACTTTAGTGTCATGGAAACATGAAGGAAAAGGGCGTTTTAAAGGTGGGAGTAGAAAATAGTATATTATGTATCAAGTTTTATAAACGCCATTTTAGTTACGAGTTTTATTAGATACGATCGAAGCTGCGAGCTTGGATTTTTTATGTAGGTATGTGTTAATTTTTTTGTTTATGAAATTGATTAATAAAGCAAAATTTCTTAGCAAAATTCTTTTCATTTAAGTTCCCAATTTCCAAGATCCTTTTTGAAAATTACAAGAATTATGGTTGAATTGATGTGGAATTTTGTTATTAAATCTACAAAATGTTTGTTATAATTGCCTATAAACTGCCTATTCAATTAGTTAACAGAAAATCTAAAATTTATGTTTATTAAAAAAAGTAAAAACTTAATACTACGGTGGATAGCCTAAATCTATTCGACATTAAAATGTGTAAGCAAACATATCAACATTCATTAAAAAAGTACTTACTCGCAATGCTGAGTGTGGCAGTGCGGCTGATGATTTTGCCGATGTTCGGCAGCTCGGCGACGCATTGATAAGTGCCCGTCAATCGTTGTTCCTCCGTGATGTTGCTTATGTAAAGCGATCCGTTCGTCAGTTGACTCCTGAAAATAAAGGAGGAAGTCCATCGTGAATTGATTAAATTTCGTGTTTGTTGTTTGTGTATATTGCAGCACAGAGGGGCAATTTATCGAAACAGATGTTGCGGTCCGATGATATTTCATACCCTTCGTCGGGTCGCCGGGGTTTTGTAAATAATACGTTGATGTTATTTTTTTATGTTGCAATTCGAGAAATTGTTTGTTGTTTACTTGATAAATAATGGGTTGTGATGAAATATTAAAAAAATAGTTTTAGTAAAAACTTATTCTTTTATTTACTGGGCATAAAAGGGACTAAAAACAATTTTTATAAAAATATATATATATATATATAAAAAATACGCAAAAATATTGTATTGTATGGTGTATGTACTATAGAAAAATAATTTAATTGGAAGAAGTGAGGTTTGATCGGTCTAAAATTTGTTAGATATTAAACACAGAAATGTCGCCACCAGTGTTTATACCGTCATTAGGGGTGTCAATCTCGAGCCTTTCGGGACCAAAGGTAACTAATCCCGGAATCCCGGGATCAGTCCCGAACAAAATATATCATTAATTTTAAAACCAATTTAAAATAAAACAACAAACAAACTAACGAACGATATCTTTCGGACTTCACACTAGTCGGAAGAATGGTTTTCAAGGATTCGTAGGCACATTGTACCCACGTTTACCCCCATTAACAAATAATTCCATTTTTTTTATCAATCGGGCCTTGGTGAGTTCCAATTGGGGCTGTAACTTACATTGAAATTATCAAGTTTGTGACATTTTTTCAGGTTTGACGTTTAAAATATGTTATATTATAGGTTATGTACATAAATTTATTCTACAGTGACCTGTAATTTTACATTTTCTTTGCTGATTTTATGCTATAGATGGAACCACTCTTGCTATGTAATTTCAATGTATTTTCATTATTGTACGGCGGTGTATAATAATATATATGTTTATATGCTTATGAGTATTATAATATGAAAAATGTCATACGCTTAAAAAAAGTCTATTTTATTCTTTGTAACTTATTACTAAGATCCCGGGATTGGGACTTTTAATCCCGGGATTTTCGGGATCGGATTTTTTACGGGATCCCGGGATTGACACCCCTAACCGTCATCCGTGGCCGGATTTAGGCATGGGCATTATGGGCTGCAGCCCATGGCCCCGCCGATCGAGGGCCCCCTATGCAATGCAAATATTTTTTTTAAACATAAATCAGAATGATTAATAAATCAACTATTTAATAGTTGCATAAAATATTAAGTCGTTAAAATTTTAGCTCTTAATATTATTATTAAGAGGCCCCCATCGCGATTTTCTATTTCTCATTTAATTAGCATGGAAAAAAATTAAGTTGGGATTTATAAACATTCATATCTTTTTAACGGATTAATTTACTTAAATAAAAACAACATACCTATTTTAAAAATATAATTTTATTAAATTAATTAAAGTAAACGCTCTACAAAGAGGTTTTTTATTATTTTATAATAAATCTACTTGTTAAAAAGTTATTCAAGCTTAAAACTACATTTATAGAAAATATCAATTTTTCTTACTTTTCCGCTTATAACAAAAAGTTATAGGACTTTTTTATTTTTCAAATAAATAATTCTTATTAAAATTCTTATTAATTTCAAGAAAATAAAAATTTGATTGCAAAAAATATTTGTATTTATACTGGTTAAACCAGTAAATCATAAATAAACCATTAAAAAAAATAATGACATATTTTTATAGAAAATAAAATGATCTACAAAAAATGTATTATCATTGTCAACATTTTGGAAAAATTCTGATGGTTTTACCGGGAAAGTAAGAAAATTTGCTATGCTTAAGACTTAAATAAATATTTAACGAGTAAAATAATAAGTAAACTTTATTTTAATTCCCTAAAAATTTTATTTTTTCTTCTATGAGCCTGTAAAAATATCGCCCATTAAAATTATTGGTTGCTAATCGCAATTTTACTTTATTTTAATTTTCTAAAAATTTTATTTTTTTTGCTATATTGAATAGCCTTATGAGCCGGTTAAAATATCAAACATTAATATTATTGGTTGCTAAACGCGATTTTACTTTTAAATTAAGTAGTTATACCTACACGGAAAAAAATCCCTTACTAGGTTTAAGAATAGTTCTATACTTCATGTTAGGAACTTGATTTAAGTATATTTATTATTTCTATAAGATTAGCGTACATTTAAACTAAGTAATGGGATATACTTAATTTTTAAGAAAAACTGTTACTTGATTTGAGATGAGTATTCTTGGATTGAGTTTAAAGGTATTTTATTTTAAAGAAAATTGGTATACTTAAATCAAATATACAATAATGCTTATACTTCAATTTAAGTATAAGACCTCTAGAACAAAGAATACACTATACTGTATTTAAGTATAGCTATTATTAAAACAAATACCTAATTCTTCGCTTAAGTAAATACCGTCCACCCTCTAAGACCGCTTCGCTAAAAGAAAAGACGCAGTTTCTGTGTTCACTGAACACAGAAACTGCGTCTTTTCTTTTAGCGAAGCGGTCTTAGAGGGTGGACGGTATTTACTTAACACTGTTCAGTGTTAGAATAGAATTCTATGGTGGTAGCGTGTGTACGTGTCGGCGCGCCGGCGCCGGCAGTTCGTTTTTTTCCTTTTTAAACTTAAAAATTGGGGCTTACAATGTTTACTAGACACATTTTTGGGTAAGTAAATAATATTTCATTAATTTAAAGTAATTAACTAGGCATGATCGTAAAAATGTAGTGTAAAATGGATAGGTATACTGTAGTGTAAAATGGATAGCATACGACAGGTAATAGACAATAGCACATAAACCGCAGAAAGGCTATAGCCTCCAATTCAGCTATATTAGTTTTGTTTTAGAAAACGAGATAGATATCGATATTATGGTAAACCTAAGCGAGGAAAATTTAAAGGAATTAATTCCAAAAATAGGATTGAGGATCAAGTGTAGAGAAAAAATTGAAGAATTAACACCAAACCATCTACGATTATAATGGTAGCCTTCTTAGAGACTCATTTTACAAATTATTTAGCTGGATATAAATTTTACTGACAATAAAAATATCTACTTAAAAAAATAATAACTATTGTGATTAAAAACCTTACCTTTACATATATGTATATATATGCTATATATAGCACCAAAAATGTGATACCTAGGTACTTAAAAAAATAAAATGTAAAATATAGTATCTAGGTTAATTAACCGTGAAAGAATGAATTTATATAAATTGACAGTACTTTTTCTAATACCTCTAAGACTGTTAGGTAATAAACCTATTGTGACATCAGTGACTATTATATATAATAAGTATAAGTATACTTAGTACTTTAGTACATTAAAATAATTAAAATAATATGCCAAAAATACTGTTAAATTACTGTCATAACGATTATACGATTATTGTATTTTCACTTTCACTTGTATTTTCCGTAGTGGTAGTATAATTAATACAAATATTTTTCAGGGTCACGAATGTTTTTTTCGTTAAAATTATTCCGAGTCGCTAGACGAGGGAATTTTTTTTTTCTAATCAACCACTTTCTTTAAGAATAGTGTAAAGTTATTTTAAATATATACTATACTTTTATCAAATATAAAAAAAGGAAAAGTAAGAATACAAGCATTTTATGCAAGTAAAGCGTGTACTTACAATAAGTATAAATAAATAAATTTTAAAGAAAGTATATTCTTAAAACAAGAATACTGTAAAGATTTTACAAAGAAACTATACTTTGATGAAGTACATACTAACGTTACAACAAGAATACCGTAGTCTTCATTGAAGACAAATTTGTATACTTAACTCAAAATTAGTGTGTTTCTTATTTTTAGTATAGCAGTAATCTTAGATTAAACCGAAGCTATCTTTATTTTATAAGAATATGAGGATACTTGAAACAAGTATAAATTTACTTGCGGAATAGGGAAACTAAGCTATACTTGGATAGAGTTGAATTTTCTTGGAATCAGTATAGATTTTTTTCCGTGTATCTCATGTATACATGAGCTTTTTTTATTTTAAAATTATATATGTAACTCGTTAACGGATTAATTAATTTATTAAAAGTTATAATCATTTTAGTCCATTAATCCGTTAACGAGTTATATAATTTCAAAATAAAAAAATCTCGTGTACCTACTTAATTTTAAAGTAAAATATTAATGGGTGATATTTTAACAGGCTCATAAGGCATTTATAGAAAAAAAATAGTCGATTTTTGTTATTCAGTTACTGCAGTATATAAATTATATTTTTTTTTACCTACTTTAAAGGCCGCTAGCAGCTAAACTAAGCAATTTTTATTTAGGTAAGTTGGGTTAAGTCGAATTATTTTAAACCAAGAAATATGTATCCTTGCATTGTACAGGTCTTCTCGGGACACCTTGTATAAATGCTAGAATGTTTTATTTTTATTATTTATGTTATTCATTTATATTATTAAGATACTTGTTATTTTTTCTTGTTTTTTTTTATTATTAATTATAATTATTGATAGGCCCCCAAAGAGTTTTAGCTCAGGGCCCCCAAAGTCAACGGTCCGCCCCTGCCGTCATCCTATGATAGAATAATTCATTTTGTAATACTTTAAGGAATATATGTCATTTCACATTAAAAAGTGATATTAGAACGGTCATATTCCGTAATAGGAGTAGACAATAATTTATTCTGAAACACTTTAAGGAATATATGTAATTCCACATTAAAAAAAGCATTAAAATGGTCGTATTCCGTAATAGGAGTAGAAAAAAATACTTTTTTTCAATAAATTAATTGATTATAATTTTCAAAAACAAAATTAAAAATTATTTTATTTTATTAAAATATATACCTATAGGAACCTATAGGAAATATATACCTATAGGAACCTACCTGTATAGGAACTATAGTAAGTTAAATAAAAAAATTAGTTAAGCCTGGGCACTTCTTGAAGACTGTAAAAATCACTATAACGCCGTGGTTTACACGTTATTT